GGTCGTGCTTAATCTTCTCTCTGCTGCAGTGAATCTCCCTCACACAGCTGCAGGTGGGGATAAGTCTCTTTCTGCTCTTAAATTTTAAAGGAAAATCTCTTCCAGAGCTCAGCTGCTCCCTGGCCCCACTGCACAGGCTCCAGAGCCTCCTCCAGCAGATCGGGTGTTTGATAACGTTTATTTTAATAAAGCCCTGGGCCTGTTTGATGGACACATCCAAAGCACTACATGGATTTGAACAGATCCCGTTGCAAATATCTCTATCTGATACCCCTGCCATGACCGGACTGCAAATGTCACTTGCTTAGCACTATCAAATATTTAATTTACGTTGTAACACAGGAGCCTGTGAGAGCTCCAGCTTAAATTGGAGGTCTCCTGTGAGCCAGCAGCTCTCCACAGGCTCGCTTAAAGGCCACTTTCTGCCCCGAAAAGCTCCTCATCCAGATGCAGAAGCGAACGGATCTGGGAGGGAACACTCTGCCCACCTCTGCTGTGGGTCTTGCTGGGACCCCACTTGTCTCTGTAAGTGCTTGTGAAGGTTTTGGCCTCCAGGGAACACGTGGGTGGGGGAATGTGACCGTCGCTGCTGCCACCGCGGTGCTCGTGGCAACGCCTGTGGTCTTCTGCCTTCAGTGGCACCACAGCTGGCCCAGCTGTCGATGTCTGTGGTGGGGGTGGCAGGACCCCCACCTGGCTTGGATCTCCTGGCTTGGATCTCCTTCTGGGTCCTGCACTTGTGGAAAATCATCTGGGAACTTCCCCGTGGCAGCTTTGTGAGGGGGCACGAGGTGCTGCCGGGGCTCGGAGCCTCCCCGTGCATCACCCAATTCTCTGTATTTTATTTCCTGAGAGAACATAGTGTCTGTGTGAGATGTGGCTCTGCCCTAATCTTTGTGCTGACCACAAGGACCCTGAAGGATGCTGTGATCCTGCCAGCCCCGTGCCAGGCTCTCCTCCGCTGGCCGCACGTGGAGCGGCTGGGGGAGCAGCATCCGCTCAGGGTGATGAATTGTGGAGCCTCCATCCTTCCTCTCCCACTTACAGCCAAACCCTGGGACGGAATGCCACACTCCCTGCCTCTGTTTGCTTTGCTGTTTCCTCTGCTGGTGTGAGAGCGGGTGGCAGCTGCCCAGGTTTTGCTTCTCCAGAGAGGATGGGCACATCCCCTGCCCCGCTGCAGAGGAGCAGCCTCGTTCCCTCCACGGCATCTCCTTCAGCTGGGTTTCAGCTGTCCTCGCCGCCCGGGAACGGGGCTGGGATCTGCTGATTCAGGGGACACGCAGCCCTGCGGCGTTAATGATCTTGATGTGGGAACGAGAGGACAGACGCAGTGGCACCGTGCTCGGTGCGATGCTCCCTGCCCTCCCGGGAGGGGAGGCTGCACAATGCCCCGCCGCCCTTCAGCACGTGGGAGCAGCACCCAGGGGAACCCCGGGGAGCATCTGAAGGTAAGGGCCAACCAGGGCATTTGGGGTGCGGGTCGTCAGAGCCCCCTGCGTGCCCTGGTCCCTGTGCCAGGAGCCTTTGGGGAGAGATGGCTCCCACTAATCCTTGCTCTGACGTGGGATAGTTTGCGGACTGATCCCAAAACGTGCCTTGTTCTAGCATTATCTGAGCATGTATCAGGGCTAGGGGGTGGCTGGTTTGATGCCGTGCCATGAAATGCTGAAAGTGATGCAAGCGTGGCCAAGGCCCTCTGAAACCTGCAGTCTGCCTGGATCCGCTCAGCTCTCAGGCCAGGACATCAGAGCAACTCCTGATGCTGTAGCAGATCCCCTGGGCCTCCTCCACCAGCAGCAGAGCACCCTGCACTTGCTGCAGCGAGGCTGGTGGCCTGCCCATCCCTCCACCAGCAGCCGGTGCCTCTTGATGGAGTCACACGGGGAATTCTCTGGGTCCAACCTTTGAGGCAACCTGGGAAGCTGCCCCGTTCCCCTGCCTCCCCCATCACCGAGAGCTGCTGTCAGGTGCATCCTCCTGCTCTTGGCTCAAGCTGGCTCCTCCAGTGCCACCTCCTGCCAGCTGGCACCCCCTGCCCCGCGTGACGCTCCAGGCTCTTTGGGAACTTGCTGAGCCTCAGGCACCAGCTCGGACGTGCCCGGCTCTCGTCCGGAGGCTGCTGATGAGGGCTGATTTAGTGGCAATCGAACCGCATTTGAAGTGCTCCTTGAAATATGAGCCAAGTGTCGGGAACTCTCCGGGCGTAGGGGCGGCTGCGGTGCCCTGACGGCTGTGGCACACGGGCAGGAGCCGGCTGGGCTCAGCAGTGCCAAGGGCAGGGCTCGGTGCTCCCTTCACAGGCACCAGGTAGGAGCCTCCCGCGCCGGGGTGGGGCACCAGGTGCTGCTTCTTGAGCGTCGCTGTGTCCCGAGCCCAAACGGGTGGGTGGGTTGGAAATCGCCCCTGCCAGCAGAGTGTGTGGAGGCAGGATGGTGGAACTGCTCCCCCCTAAGGGGTCTGGGGGCTCTGGAGGGAGGGCACAGCCAGGGTGCCTGGTGCAAACGCTCATGGCGATAATGGGATCACGGAGCTGCTCAACGGTGCAAACCTCAGGGGATGGGACGCGGTGATTTGTGTTCAGGTGAGGGGTTGTTGCGGCTTCCGGCTGTTCTGAGGGTCCCTTCAGATGTGAAACAGGGACCATGAAATCGGTCCTTACTTGGGGGGTTTGAGGGAATTTTGTGGCAGTTGTTGGTGGCCACTTCCACGTCAATTCTTCTACTTCCACTGCTTTTATTTGCTGTTATGTGCTCTCAGCCGGGAACAAGGAAGGTGGATTCAGTGGTGAGGAATCGTGTGAACTCGAATCAGATTCTTTTTTTATTTTTTCAGATTTTTTTGCTCTCTTAGTAGGTTCATGCAGACTTTCTCTTCAGGTGGTGTTTTCCCTGCTCCTACACTGCTGAATGGACTGATCTCCCGATCAGCTGTTGTGATATCCCCTCAGCTCTGTGGTGAAGGCAGTTTGACTGAGAGCAAGGTTCTGGTCCCACGTGTTGGCTTCAGAGAGTTCCGACCCTATAAAGGTCCCACGGGGCTCGTGCTGATGACAGGAGGGAGCCTGAGGGTCCCTAGGAGGGGAATGTCACTGGGGTGGCATCACTTAACCTTCGCCGTGTTTTAGTTTCCTTCCCGTGAAAGGTAACAGCCCCCCAGAAAGATCCTGAGTGCTTTGCTGAAAAGGTGAAATCCACTCCAAAGTGGTTGTCGGTCAAGACACCGCTGGCACATGTGCCATGACCTGTCCCGTGACCCATCCCAGCCACGAGCAACCCGGTTTGTGGCCCTGACACCTGAGAAGCAGAACAGGCGCAGCAGAAATTAAGTGAATGAGACAACAAGCGTGTGTGTAATTAGGACAGACCTTCAAACGCTGCCCCGGGAGCAGGGACAGAAGTCACTGGCTAATCAGAGCAACAGCAGTGCCTGTTTTAAAGACGAGGGAGACTTTGGGGGATACTTTGTCCACATAATGTTCCAATTTTAGCTCTGCGTCCCGGGATGTAATTGCATTAAAAATACCCGGGGAGGGGGAGGATGCCAAGGGCACCCAGCGACCTGCCTCCTCTGGCGTGTCCCCACCAGCGCACCGTTCCTGCCGCGTTCTGAAGCCCCGTCTCACATTCCTGGCGCTGATCATCTCCCAGATCCGCTTTCCGGCTGTTCTGCTAATGGTTATCCCGGGAAAGGCCTCCGGCTCCGTTAACAGCTCGTGGGAAGACCTCCCGCTCCTTTTGGCTAAGCAGGACTACTGATGGAGACACTCGCGGCCGCCTCCGGGGGTGCGGGAAGGCGCAGGATGGGACCGAGACCCGCCGAGGACTGGGGGTGCTCGCCCCAAGGGTGGGTGGGTGGGTGGCAGCGCATCCCCGTCCCGCGAGGGGGGGACCAGCTGGCTCCTGTCGCCGCTGTCCCCGGTCCCCGCCGTCCCCGGTCCCGGCTCCCACGCGGGAACGGAGCGGCGGCGCCACCGCGGGGCCGCGGCCGGGGCTGCAGCGCCCCCGAGACACCCCCCGACCCCGCCGGTGGGCCCGAGGACCGAGCGCTGTGTGGATGGGGAGCCCCACCCCGAACCCACCCACGCCAGCGAGATGCAGGGGGGTTTTGGGCTGCCTGAGCCAAAGCCCCCGTGGAGTACACGCGTGGCTGAGCCCTGCATAGTCCCCATGCAGCCCTGCCCGAGGATGCCAGGGACGGCTCTGCAGGGCACCCTTGGGTCCTGCCTGGCCACCCACAGACACCCTGGCCCCCGCCTTGGCCCCTCGGGGTGTCTCGGCACAGCGTGCCTGTGGGTATTTGTAACCAGCAGCTGCCAGCTCCAAGGTGGTAACTGGATCACGGGGCTCGGGTGACCTTCGCGCCTCTGAGGCTGTTCTGGATGTCCCACCAGCTCCCAGCTCTGGGCTGGGCAGCAGGGACAGTGTCCCTGCAAGGCAAAGGTCGCTGGAGGGCTGTCCCCAGCTGACCCCAGCGCCTCCCTGGGCAGCTTTTTGTCTGTGGTGTCTCTGTGTGGGTCTGGGCTCCAGCTCCCCACACAAGGCAGTCCCAGATAGACCCACTCTCAGGACAGGCACCTGCTGGTGGCCGGCAGTCCTGTGCCAGTCGTCCTCCTGCCATGCTGGGGATGGGCTGTGGAATGCCCACACCGCACACGAGTCCTGCCAGCTGAGTCTCTTGCCTGCAGAGAGTTGGTTCCATCCCAACTCTGCCTTGGGGCCAACCCACGGTGCCATCCGGGAGTGAACAGAGACTTGAACTGGACACAAGGAGTGTCTCCTGGAGCTGGAATCTTGGAAGAAGTGGGTTATTCCCTGCTCCAGCACTAACCTTCTGGGAATGCTGCTGCTCGTGTCATCTGGCCCAAACGCTGTTGCTCTTGCTCAGGGATCCCCCCTGGATCCAGACACCCCAGAGGTGCGGGACCTGTGCTGGGCTCTCACGTGGCACCCCGTTGCTGTCCCTCTGTCCTCACGGCGGGTCTGTCCTTCCTCCCGCAGGCATGAAGCGACCCCTGAGCCCATCCCACAGCCCCGAGAGCGCGGTGCGGCTGGCAGAGGTGGCCAGCTGCCCCCCCAGCCAGCCCGAGCAGCGCATGAAGCGGGAGAAGAAGCACCAGTCGTTCACGCTCTGCGAGGTCTGCAACATCCAGCTCAACTCAGCCGCGCAGGCTCAGATCCACTACAACGGCAAGTCCCACCAGAAGCGCCTCAAGCAGCTCAACAAGGGGAAGATGCCGGCAGCCCAAGGTAGGAGCCCGCCCAGCAGGTCGAGCTTGCCCAAAGGCTGCCCTTGCTCTGGCACAGCTGCTTGGCTGGGCTCACGGAGAGTTCGGGAACGCTGTGTTTTTGTCCTTGGCGTCTCAACTGCTGGTCTGCCTGAGAACTGCGGGGCTTCCCCCAGCTGTCGCTGCCAGCTCTCAGGTGGTTTTGGGGCCCAATAGCCCACGCTGTGGCACGCAGGGATGGACACGTGTGGGTCTGTCCATGTGTAAGTGTGGCTGCTGGTGCTCTGTGTCTTTGTGAGTGTATTCTTGGGTTCTGTTGATGGTTTTGTGCAGCGGGAACGAGCGTGTCCAAGGGTGGAGTGGTTCTCGGTTTCTGGGCTTAACGGATGCTGCTTCCCCGGTGCCAACCCGACCCTGTTCCTCCAGGCTCCTACTGTGCACAGCTCCTGTATCTGTGCTGAGTTTTGATTCAAAATGCTGCTTAGATGGTGGTGCTGAGGCCCCTTCAGCTGCAGCAGGGATGCCAGCACACACAGGTGCTGCGCCACTGGGCAGGAGCTCGTGCAAGGGCAAGGACTCACTTGCCCTCTGTGCCATCTGCCAGTGTTCACCTGGCCGGGCCCAGCTGGCTCTGCAGATTTTCTGCATAAAAGCAGGGAGATGTGCCCAGAAATGTCACCCTGTCACCATGGCTGACCTGCTCTGCCTGAGCTCTGAGGGTTTGTCTGGCAGTAGGAGCAAACCACGAGAATTTCACAGAATCACAGAATGCCCTGAGTTGGAGGGAACCTTAAAGATTATCTGGTTCCCTGCTCCTGCTCTTCCTAGAAACTGGGCAGACTGGAGCCATAAATTCCCAGCATGGCAATGGTCATCTCTCTGCCAAATCCTGTCCTGACTGGTGCTGGTTTTGTTTGGGCAAGGCCTGGGATATGCAAAGGAGTTGGTCTGTTCATCATTGTTACTGACAGATGGAAATATCGCCGGCTATTTTAATGGGGACAGGGCTCATAAATTCCAGCCTGCAGCTTCCAGATCCTACCCTGGATCTGTCTGTGGCTCGATGGGAGGCTGTCCAAGGATGTGTTTCCTAACGAGCCAAAGAATCTCAGAGCGTGCCAGTCTGCTCTTTGTGCTTCTGCACCGTCCCTGACCTCTGCCAGCGTCGGGGTGCGCAGACGTCGCAGCCCCAGGGCCCCTGAGCTCTCTGCTCAGCTGGGTAGGGTGCAGTGGCTCCTGCATGTGCAGGGCTGGGATCTGCTCACTGGGGGATTGCAGGCAGCAGCTGCTCCCCCGCGCCTCCCTGTCCCTCCTGTTCCTGCCGCAGTCGCTCCGTGCAGCTGGAGCCGACCTTTCCTTGCGCTTTTGGTTAAAAATCTCATTTCCCAAGAAGGCACCATCCCTGTCTGCCTTGCCCCAGTGAGCTGAGGACAAGCACAGGACAAGCTCCTGCCCGTGCTCCTGCCTGGGCTGAGGTGTGTGGGCAGGAGGGCGCGGGCAGGAGGGCGCAGGCAGGGCTGGCAAGGTCATGGTGCTGGTGGGGCTCTGTCCTGTCCCAGCTCTTCACTGGCCAAACTAGCACCTTTGGGTGCTGAGGAAATGCACCTGCCTGTGATGATGGGAGCAGTCACCCTTTTTTGGGCAGGTGCCTGCTCTGGTGCTGGGCTCAGCCTGGCACAGACCACGGAGAGGAACAGCTAACAAGGGACTCCAGTGGCACGTCAGCACTGGGGGAGCTTTGGGAGGTTAAAGACAATGGATTAAATGAAATAATTGAGTTAGACAAAGATGGGACATTCCTCTGGGCTGGAATCTCTGTCTCATGCTGACACCTACAGCTACATCAAAGGCTGCTTCCCAGCTGCTGCTCAGTCTCCCCATTCCCCTCTGGCTCCTCAGATCCCGTTCTTCCCGCATAAGCTGTGAACGCTGGCATCTTATGGAGCAAAGCTGCAGAGGAGCATCGCTGGCAAACGTGCTAATCAGTGCCATTACAATTCATTAGCTCTGTGCCAGAAAGACCCCAGCTTAAAAACAAATCATTGCTCATTAGGCGTTTCCTTGCGAGGCAGATCCAGATCCCTGTTGTCCCACACAGAATCACAGTGCAGGTGGTGATTAGATATGGGGTGCCCACAGATAAAAGATGTTTTCATGTCACAGTTGCCAGTTCTAATCCAACTGGGTCACGAGTGATTTAATTATTGCCTGTGATTTCCAAGGGAGCCCAAGTGAGCTCAATTCCCTCTTGGAGTCCTCAGAAGCCAAACCCTCATCTGATGCCAAAAGAGCAGGAAGAGCTGATCCACCCCAAAACGGGGAGTGGTGGCTGCAGGGTGAGGGCAGGGGCAGGGATGGGGGGCGGCTGCTTCCCCTTGTCATCCTGGATGATCTCTGGGGCTCCCATCACAGGACAGGCCGAGCTGGAGTATTTCAGGAATTTACAGCCTTATGCACTGCTCCCCAAAAGACCTTTTCACCAATGTCTCAAAAACGTCATGGGATGTAAAGAGCAGCTTGAGCTCACCGCTGCTGGAGCAGCATCCCTGGGCCCTGCCAGCTCACAGAGGCAGTGGGAAGCAGTCTCCTTCAGAGCAGCAGGCTCCTGGTCCTGAGGGCTACTTGGCTGCTCCCCCAAACTGAGTGCCAAGGCAGGGTTGGGCCAAAACACCCAGAGCCACTGTGCCCCGGGGCTGATCCATGTCACAAGCTCTTCCTCCTCTCCGTGTGCCCCGTGGCACCCTGACCCTCTCCTGGGCTGCTCAGTGCCACCTTCCCCCTCACACTGGGGCTGCCTGGTGCCGTTCCCCCCTTTGGCAACACAGCCCTGCAACAAGAGTTCTGTGCAAAGGGAAAGGCCCTGGTTTCCCCAGTTATCTGCTGAAATGTCTGTCCATGCGTGTTTGGGAGCAGAAAGGCTTGAGATGAGCAGAGAAATCGCTGTGACAGCTTCAGCATCGCTGGGTCTGCGGCGCAGAGTGGGGGCCCCGGGAGGGGATGTGGGGACCCCGGGGGAGCCTGGGCTGCTCTGGGAGCTGGAGGGGCTGGCAGCTGCTGGTGGGATTATCTTGGGTTTCACAGGGAGTGCCAGCTGAACTCCCGGATTTTGGCAGCTGGGGGCAACCCACTCCCCTTGACTGGTTCCTGTGGGACAGAGTCTGGGTCACGGTGCCCAAGGCTGGGTTATCGCCTGTTGCACTGACCGAGGAGTCCATGGCCACGCTCTCCACTGGGCCAGGATAGCCCTGCTGGAAAACAAATCCTGAAAACCACCCAGGGCAGTGCCTGGGAAAGCTGTGCCCTGGTGTGGGGAGCAGTGGAGGAAGGGGAGCTGGTGAGTCTGACCATGGACAGTCTGCTGGGTGCATGATCCCATGCCATGATCCTGCTCCGTGAGCCTATTTTACGATCCCGGTCCAGGATCCTGCATGTGGTCCTGGTCCGTGATCCTTTTCTGTGACCCTGCTCTGTGTGCTCTGGCATCTCATTGCTCAGCTGCAGCATGTTCCCTCCTCCTTCCCTCGGCTGCTCTCTGCTGTTGCAGCCCTTCAGCTGTTCGTTACCAAGCAAACCGGTGCCAATCCCATTTTGTCCTATTTCGTGTTCCTCACGGAACCCTTTAATTGTTTTTAATAAACAGGGCGATGCTCAGTGGGGCTTTGTCGGCAATAAACCCCATGTATTGATTTAAATAATCTGCAAACATGTGGGATTAGGGTCTAATTGGGACTAATCAGGGTGCAGCGGCCGTGTCACCACTGGGTCGGGGCTGGGACGTCCTCCTGTCTGCCAGAGCTCCCGGCCAGGCCCAGCCTCGGGCGCCTGCCAGGACCTGCTCCGGCAATGCCAGGGGGAACGTTGCTCTTTCTGGCTCCCTCCTTAAGTCCTGCAGCAGCTCTCTTGCTTTTGGGACCTTTTGGAGAAATCTGGCAGGGAAAGGCCGGGGTCTGCCTGGCGCAGGAGCCGCCTCACAGCGTCCCTCGCCGGGGACCTTGGCAGCACATCGGGCTCTCCCGAACTTCCCAGCAGCAGATCCGTGCCCAGCCTGAGCGTTAAAGGGGCTTTAACATTCAGCTGGGGCAGACCCTGCATCTGCTGGGTGCTGATTGACACCCAGTGCCCAGGCAGCACCAGGGGTCAGATTTTAAGCTTCTGTGAATTTAAGAAGGACAAACATACGGAGTCCTCCTGCTCCGCTGGCCTCGGCTGCTCCCTTCAGCTGTGAGCAAAGATGAGCAAAAATAGCTTTTCAGATCAGATTTGAACAACCTGGAATCTCAGTGAGGAAAATACAACGTTTCTTTTCACCTCTTAAAGATGCTGGCTGGGATCAGGCATCATTTGCAGAAGCGTGGTTGGGTAATTTTATGGTTTCCTTCCCTCTGCTCACTTCCAGGCTTCTCCCTTCCCATTTGGGTGTAGGGATGGGTGAAGGGACATCCCTTGGGGCTCCTGGGGGCAGAGCTGGGAGGGCTGAGAAGGGGAGGGATTTGTCCCTGCCACTGGGAACTGGCAGAAAAGCTCTGTTTCACTAAAAGCTCTTGTTCTACCAAAAAAAGCCATTTTCCGTGGTGGAAAGGGCCTGCGGGCTCCGTGTGAGAGGCACTGCATGAGCCCAGACCCTGCTCCAGGCACATCAGCCTTGTGCCAGCCCATGAATCCAGAGAAAACTGCTCCCTTTCTAAATCCTCGGAAAATACCCCATTAACTTGCTGTCCCTCTGAAAAGCCCAGCTATTCAGCTTTCTGTGGATTAATAACTCCAGCATAACTAATCTCTGATTTTATTGCGCCAGTAAACTTCAAATAGAAAACGAATTGATCAGTGGTCAGCGTTGGCTGGAAGGGTTTCACGGTGTGGAGCCTTCCCCACTGAGACTCTGCCCTCCCACTCTGCACCCTGAGCTCTGGCCAGAGCTTCAGGGGTGTTTTTCCCTGACACACTTACTCTAAAAAGATCCTTACAATTTAAACTCACAGCCATAAAATGACACAGAGAAGCTGCTGGGCTTCTCTTGTGCTG